GTCTCTGAAGAAGAATGTACCACTTTGCATTTTGAAATCTGATCTTACAGACAAAGTAATCAGAACATCATTCAATTCAAACAAAAGAATTAAATCCAGAAAATATGCTACACTTACATGAAGTGTCTAGTTCCAAAATACCTCCTACACAAATTTGGATTGAATGTGAACACTGCTTCCCCAGTATTACTAACCAAAAAAAAAAGAAAGAAAGAAAAAAAAAAAAAAAACTCACTGCCGTCAAGTCAGTTCTACTCACAGCTACCCATCCTTGGGTTTCCAAGGCAGTATCACTATGGAATTAGATTGCCTGATTGTTCTTCCCAGGAGTGACCAGAACCTCCAGCCTTCTGGTTAGCAGTCAAATGCCTTAGGAACTATACCAACGGAGCTCCTAGACCAAAATAATATTCTGCCTACCAACACGTGATAAAAATTCAGCACTACATATTTTCAGAGAGCATTTGTGATTTAAATACACAGTTCATTTTTATTTTAAAGTATCATTAGAAGAGTAATTCCATATCACTTAATGGATTATAGGCATAATTCACCTTATCCCTTGATAGAAATGAGTCCCGTTTATGCACAGAACAGATGCAACAGGACATGTTGAGGCAACCTACTAACTCAGTGACCTCTTCCTGCTTTTGATTTTTTTTTTTGTTTGTTTTAGCTGTTGGCTAAAGGGATAGTTGTCCCCCAGGGTTTTCTGTGGTTGTTGTCATAGAAGTTTTGTGATGCCATCTTAAAAGTAGCATAAGAATGATCCTGTTTCAGATGAATGAGGACTGTTTCAGCTGCTCAGATTTGCACTCTGTGCAGCTACTGGTTTTCCTAAGCTCTGTGCATTGCCTAGTTGGATTCTGAGGACACAGGTGAAGTGAGTTTGAGGAAGGATTGGATACTGGGGTGGGGGACTTGGCAGTATACATAAAGACAGAGGCTGTCTCATTCCCTTGTGGCCTTTCACACCACTAGCCTATAGCAGACCCAAGCTAAGAAATAGAGATGCTGACATTTTTACTTAATTTTTAATGTTTGATTAAGATACCAAACTGAATTTATTCAATAATAAGCTTAGATTGTGTATTAAGAATTGAAATAATTATAGATTTTACTGGAAGCATCTAAAATATTCATCAAATGGCAAATAGAAAACCACATAGTAATGTTGTTTTTGTTGTTAGGTGTCATCAAGGCCTCTCCAACTCATAGCCACCCTATGACCAACAGAATGAAACAACACTGCCTGGTCCTTTGGCAGCCTCACGATCCTTGTTATACCTCAGCCCATTGTTGCAGCCACTGTGTCAATCTACCTTGTTGAGGGCCTTCCCCTTTTTCATTTACCCTCCAGTTTACCATGCAAAATGTCCTTTTCCAGAGAATGGTCCCTTCTGACAACATGACCAAAGTAGGTGGGATGAAGTCTGGCCATTCTTACTTCCAAGGAGCATTCTGGCTGTATTTCTTTCAAGGACAGATTTGTTAGTTCTTTTCATAGTCCATGATACTTTGAGTATTCTTTGCCAACTCCACAACTCAAAAGCATCAGCTCTTCAATCTTCTTTTTTTTATCATGTTGAGGGTAATAGTTCCATATAAAGGAATATTAAGTTGCTGTGGTCCCTTTTATTCCAACACATTGTGAGCTGTGATGTAGTAAATTACCTGGTCTGGCTTTTCTAGCCATAAGTCTTTGTAAATTCTGTGGTGGAATTTGCCATGAGCAACTGAGCTCCTGATTGTTAAAGTTACCCACCTGGGGTATTTCTGTTGAGAGTGACCCAAAGCATTGTTCTGGGAAGTCTGCTTTCTGGTGCTTAGAATTCTGATGTTATGATTGGTTATTTGGCCATTCTGTCAGGCTCAAAAGGAACCCGCCTACAGGCTGAAGGTGCCTCTGTGACTCCTGGCTGAGAAGCACATGTTGCTGAGAGAAACACGTTCCTGAGAGACACACGCTGCTGAGAAAGAGATGCAAGAGACACGCACGGCTGGGAAAGAGATTGTGAGAGACTGTTGGCTTAGAGATGGCAGGCTGAGAGAGCATTGTTCCTGAACTTGAATTGTAGCTTGGTGCTTCCCTATTAAACCCCATAATCTGTGAGTTCTGTGGGCCACTGCAGTGTATTACCAAACCCAGCAGAAAAGTGGTGGGTGCTGTGGGAGGAACAGTTGGTATCAGGGTTGATGAAAGGGCTGGAGGGAGGTAGCATGTCTGGCCTTACAGGAATAGACCTTGGGCTATCGATGGTGATTCTATCTTCCTCTTGTGGGGTAAGAAGAGGCCAGAAGTTGTGGCCTCCCTGCCTCTTTGGCATGAGCCCCATGTGTTTCAAAGTAGAACTGTACTCCATAGGGTTTTCAATGCTTGTGACATTTTGGAAGTAGATCACCAGGCATTTCTTCCAACATACTTCCGGGTAAATTTGAACCTACAACTTTGTGGTTAGTATCGAAGTACATAACTATTTGTCCTGCCTAGGGACTCCATAGGAACCCTATTCAACAGTAAAATGCAAGAAAGTACTGATAGATAAAAACAACATGGATGAATCTCAGATGCATTATACTGAGTGAAAATAGTCAGCCCAAAAAACATGTACTATACAATTCCATTTATCTGAACTTCTAGAATAGGCAAAGGTATTGTGATAGTAGATCAGTGGTTCCAGGGGTTGAGGATAGGATGCAGGGATTGACTGCAGAGGATCAGGAAGGAACTTGTTGGGATGATAGAAGTGCTTTACAATAATAACAATGGGAATTGTACGCACTTGTTAGTTCTCATCAAATTGTATACTTAAAGTTGCATCTATATATATGTATGTAAAATGCTACTGTATGTAAATGATATTTCAATAAAATTGGTTCAAAAGAAAGTATAGTGAATTTCACCAATAAGTGTGGAAGGGATCCTAAAATCAATTGACACCTACAAGTGATGTAAAAAAATTATAAGGACACCCTGAATCCTCATCCAGCATCTAGACAAGGATTACCATTAGGTAATACATTTAAAGGCATAGTGGAATATACAAAAGGTTATACCCATGAGTTCTTCATGATCAATGTAACTTTAACATGCAGATCACCTAGCCCAATTCTTTGCACGCAATAAGCTTAGTAAATGCTGAGTATTATGATTTTTATCACTGTTGTTGTTATTATTACTATCTAGAACATTGCTTTAAACTGTGTAGACAAATCACAGGGAGCCCTGGTAGCATAATGGTTAATTGCTCTGCTGCTAACTCAAAAGTTGGTGGTTTGAATTCACCAGTGGTTCCATGGGAGAAAGACCTGGTAATCTGTTCCCATAAAGAATGCAGCCTAGAAAACCCTCTGGGGCAGTTCTACTCTACCCTATAAGGTCCCAATGACATACAACAGTAACATCAACAGATAACCCAATATCCATTGCAGTCAGTTTGATCTCAACTTATAGAAAAAATATGTAACAGAGTAGAACTGCTCCATACAGTTTCCAAGGCTGTAATCTTTTCAGAAGCAGACTGGCCCATCTTCCTCCCACAGAACCACTGGTTTGTACAAACCCCCCACCTTTCGGTTAGTAGCTGAGTACTTACCACAGTGCCACCAGGGATCCTTGACAGCACAATAGAAGGTGTGAATGTAGAGGAGACAGAGCGTTCTTCCACATTCCAGTGGACTGAGCATATGAGGTAACTGGTTCAAATGATTAGAAATACAAAATAGGGTGAGGGATAAATCATTTACTGGTTTAGGAATAGTAATAAACTATAATTTATCACAGAAATAGAATATTAGAACACCATTTCTCAGACACATTCATGACTATTTTGTGTGGAGATCACATCTGAGCTATCTCAACTCTTTGTGGAGACTGCAGATGTTGAAATTTTTAACTGGTATTTGGTACAAAGTTTTATAAGAGTCCGCACAATATAATATGTAGGCTGTAAGACTTTCTCTTTTGCAACACATGTGAAGATCAATGGTCACATGAATCTCATACTCCTGTAGTAGTACATTAATGGAACACTATCCATTTCTGACATGATCAAGACATCATAACATTTCCAAATGATTACAATGTAATATGGATGGCTGTGTGTTGCAATAGAGAAAATAGTCAACATTTAATTGACTTAATGTACCCGCCACTTACTGTGTTGTATGGGTAGGTTTCATGAATCATGTTTAAACCTCTTCACAACCTCATTCATTAGATACAGATAGCAAAGAGGTTGCACAAGTGTTAAGGAGCAGGTAGAAAATTTGATCTGACATTAACAGTTGAGAACCATTGATATGAACTAAAGCTTGGTAAGGGCACATTTGTTTTTGTCGAGCTGGATTGCCAGCATTATGCTCTGGCATTGTTTGTCTAGTCCTATGGGTGAGATGGAGAGAGAGAACTGACTTTTGTCACAAACTCTCTGAATCCCAAATAATAAGGCTATAATATAGCAGTGGATATTATGTTAAGCCATTCTTGAATGAGATGATTAACTGTTCTAAATGTCTCAAATCTTGGAAAGCAGAATTTAGAAACTGTATCGTTAGGATATCAAACATAGCACAAGGTTGATGTTTGATAATGGGGTAAAATTTGTTTTAATAGCTTTCAACTGACCAAATTTAAATTCCATTGGGCAATGGTATAGACACACCTCTGTGTAAGATTGCCAGCATTAGCAGTAACTTGAGTTTTGCTAATTATATTTAAAGTTTAGCAAACTGAGACAATAGTTGATCCTAAATGGGAAAAAAAAAAATCAGTATGTGGATTCTAATGGGTACATTAATCATTTCCTTATCACACTGAGGTTTGGCTTTATTGTCTATTTTTGAAGAAAGCAGAAATGCCATTTCTTACAATAAAAACATTCTTTACTATGTGAGCAGTAGATTGAAGCTGTACAGATTGGCTCTTTAATGAAATATGCAACATTCCACTGGAACTGACAAGCTTTATTTCTGTTTGTTGTATTTTTTTCTCATTACAGATGGACCCGATACAGAAAGCTGTAATAAATCATACATTCGGGGTTCCTCTTCCTCATCGAAGGAAGCAAATTATATCATGCAACATTTGCCAGCTGAGATTTAATTCCGATGTAAGTTTATCATTTAGTATTCACTAAAAAAAAAAAAAAAAAAAGTATTATGTTTTTCTAATCTTGCAGCAGATATTTCTTAAACATTTTTCTCCAATAACTGAGCATGTCAAAATTCAAAGATAAAATTTTAACTTCTTATGTGCTTTAATTTTGGAATTTATTATACTAAGTTCAGTTGTTTACAAATCACACAGACACAATCTTAGACACTTGCAGTGCAATCATGTTTTTTTTTAATCTCTTGGAAATGATACATTTAAGTAATACATTTTACCTTTGGGGAATAGTCAAGATTAGGAAGAGTAAGACTTTCAAAGGTCACACCTCTGAAATGAGTTAGCACAAATCACTTCAAGGCCCAGATTTTGACGTTGTAAATTTACTTTACCTGTGACTTTGCTTTGTGACTCCCAGTTCCAGGTCAGTCTTTGTGTCTTTAATCATATTTATATTGGAGTTTTCAAGTTACTATCCTAGGAGTATTTTAACAGGGGTTCCTAAAGGTCCCAATGCACTCATTCAAGACCCAAAAGAATAAAACGTTAAGTGAAGAACATGATAGATGGTGGGCTAATTGTGCTTCTGACCAGTGCTTTGCAATTGATTCACAGTCACCTGTCTCACCTTTTCTAAGGATCAAGGAAGACTCTGAATCCATCACAGTGATGCTAATTTTGGTTTGTGGCCAACATGAAAAATATTGTCTGGTCAAACCTGCTTTATTTTCTTACAATTCTGGAGGTCAGAAGCCAAAAATTCATCGAATGATGCAGAGTGAAAGGGAATGTTGATTGGAAAGGAATAGAATCCTGAGACTTTTTTTTCCCCCATATTCTAGTCCCCCCCCCCCATCAAAATCGTCTTTGCTAAGATACCATTTTCTTGGCCTAAATTGGTACATGGTGTGGAGATGATGAAACACATTTGGATTCTGGAGAATGTTAGGCCATCCAGTATTTAACCTCTCCAGGAAACTAGGTTTTCCAGATACTCTATCTGTTGATGAGCACATACTGTTAGACAATCAGAAACAGGCAATAAGAGTGGCACAAATAAAGTGTTTTTTTTTGTTTGTTTGTTTTTTTGTGAGATGAATATCTAATTTAAAAAAAAATAAGGACCATTATTACTTTACAAATTTGTACTTACTAGTGCAATCATCAAATAGTTTTATAATGTTCCTTCTGATGGCTTAAAAATGAGAAGTGTAGATTGCCTCCATGGTACTTCTTTGTACGTTGACATAATATTTGCTGCTATAAACCAGAATACACCGAATAGTTGTAGCAATTTATTTGAAGGAAGGTTTTTCCTTTGTTTAATATTGAGTGCTTTGATTTGATTTGAACTTTTATGAAATTTGCCATTGAGTGTTCAATTTATTAACAGTAAAATATTTCCAAGCGATGAATGTTACATAATAATCTCTTCCAGCAGTTGTAAAAAATAGTCCTCCTAACATGCAGATAAGAACTTTGAGCTCAATAATTGGAACTTTGATCATTTCTAAATGCTTAGCAAATAATCATATAGTTCTGAAATTGTTATCGTAAGTGGTTCCATCTTAATTCCTTTTATCCTTAAATCCCACTGCTACTTCAGTCTGGAACTGGTCAGATAATGATGCAAAACTCTCCCAGGAGCCATGCTGTCAGTACCTTACACCTAATGGGGCTATTTCAGATGTCCTCTCATCCTAACAATTTTGCTGTCAATATTTCCTCCATACTAAGAAAAATTCCTTTAAACCAGAAATCATAAAGCGACTTCAAGGTCATCGAACACATTCTCCCACTGAATGCAAGAAATCCATCTATACATCCATGTATTTGTCTTTTGGTCAATTATTTCCCATGATGGAGCACTCAGCATCTCAAGACAATGGTTCTGTTTTTTTTTTAGTATCTTTAATTCCATGCCTGGGAATTAAAATAATGTTTTTGGAATTCTAGAAATATTTGTCAGGTATTCTATAGGAAACATCTATTTACATGCATGCTTACCTGTTTTAAAAGTTCTTTTCTAAAATGTCATTTTATTTCCTCAGTAAGAGAGAGTAACAATTATGTTAACAGTTTCAAGGTGATACAGGAATCAGTATGCATTTATTAGGGACAGTTGGGGGACAGTGCTGATTGAGTGGTAGAATTATTACTTCCCAGTCAGGGGATCTAAGTTCAATCCTGGCTAATGCACCTCATGCACAGCCACTATCTGTGTGTGAGCACAGCTTCCAGATTAAAGAGACTAAGAAGAAAAGCCTGGTGATCTACTTCCAAAAAGCCACCAAAAAAACCCTATGAATCACAGCAGCCTGATCCCATTGGAAGTAGCTGCTATAACACCAGGGTCAATTGACATGTCATTCTCACAACTTTATTTTCAGGGTTGTCAGGCACGTGCTTAAAGGAAAATGATCAAAGCATTTGGGGTATTTGTGCTATCATTCTGTGTCATGATGAAACAATTGCAAGCTTGCTCTTCACTAGGTTTCTATTCCTGCAATAATAAACCACCACAAATTTAGTGGCTTAACATTGTTGCAGCCACTGTGTCAGTCCCATCTTCTTGAAGGTCTTCTTCTTTTTTGATGACTCTCTTTACTAAGCATGATGTTCTGCTCCAGGGACTGCTACCTCTTGATAACATGTCTGAAGTACATGAGATGAAGTCTCACCATCCTTGTTTCTAAGGACAATTCTGGTGCTGCTACTTCTAAGACAGATTTGCTTGTTCTGACAGCCCATGGCATATTCAATATTATTAGCCAACACTATAATTCAAAAGCATCAATTCTTCTTCAGTCTTCCTTATTCATTGTCCTGCTTTGGCATGCATATGAGATGATTGAAAAAAACATGGCTTGGGTTAGGCACACCTTGGTCCTCAAAGTGAAATTTCTGGTTTTTAACACTTTTAAAGAGGGCTCTTACAGCAGATTTGCTCAATGCAATACAACATTTGATATATTGACTGCTGCTTCCATAGACATTGATTGTGGCCTCAAGTAAAATGAAATCCTAAACAACCACTGTATTTTCTCCATTGATCATGATGTTGCTTATCGGTGCAGTTGTGAAGATTTTTGTTCTCTTTATGTGGAAATGTAATCCATACTGAATGCTGTAGACTTTGATCCTCATAAGTGAGTTATTCAAGTTGTCTTTCATCAAGCAAAGTTGTGTCATTTGCATATCACAGGCTGTTAATGAGCTTTCTTCCAATCCTGAGGACATGGTCTTCATATAGTCCAACTTCTTGGCTTATTTGCTCAGCGCTCAGCATACAGAGTGAATAAATACGGTGAAAGGATACAACCCTGGCATGCCCTTCCTGATTTTAAACCATGCAGTATCCCCTTGCTCTATCTGAATGACTACCCCTTGGTCTATGCACAGGATTCTCATTTCTCATGAAATGTTCTGGAATTCCCATTCTTTGCAATGTTATCCATAATTTGTTATAATCTGCACAGTAGAATGCCTTTGCTTGGTCAGTAAAACACATGTAACCATCTTTGTGGTATTCTCTGCTTTTAGCCAAAATCCATCTGATACCAGCAATGATATCCCTCACTCCACATACTCTTCTGAGTCTGGCTTGACTTTCTGGCAGCTCCCTTTTGATACACTGCTGCAACCATTTTTGTGTTACATTCAGCAAAATTTTACTTGCATGTGATATTAATGATACTGTTCGATAATTCTGTTGGATTACCTTTCTTTGAAATATGCATAAATATGCATCTTTTCTGGTCAGTTGGCCAGATAGCTGCCTTCCAAATTTCTTGGCATAGACCAGTGTGCAGTTAAGCATCTGTTTGTCCAAACATCTCGATTTTTATTGTGTCAATTCCTGGAACCCTTTTTTTTTTTTTTTTCCCCCAGTGCTTTCAATGCAGCTTCGACTTCCTTGGATACATTTATTATCTTATAATTCCATAGATCAGAAGTCCAAAATGGTTCTCATTGGGTGAAAAATAAAGGTTACCAGGGCTGTGTACTTTCTGGTCATTCTGGGAGAATTTATTTCCTTGCTTTTTCTAGCATCTAGAGGCTGTCAGCATGCCTTGGTTCAGGATCCTTTATTCTATCTTGAAAACTGGTAATGGCATGTTGAGCCCTTCTCACATGAAATCAGTCCTGCATTCACTCTTTTGCCTCCTTTTTCCACATTTAAGGACGTTCCTGATTATATTAGACACACCTGGATAATCCAGGCTAATCTTATTTTAAGGTCAGCTGATTAGCAACATTAATTCCACCTGCTGCTTTAATGGCCTTTCACCCTATGATGTAATACGGTCATAGGTTTCAGGGATAAGGATGTAGGAATCTTTGGGAGGCTGTTCTTCTGCCTATCTCAGATACTGATATGGATGTTGGACTTAAGTTTGAACTGAATTTTATGACAGGCTTCATTCATCAGATGATAATTGCTCAGCCCAGTTTATTTGATCAATATCAACTGGAATTTTATGTGAATTCATTGCCCTTAAATTTTTGTTCTCTTGAACCCTGAGTATATTTTCACTATGTAGTGCTAACTTTTTTAAAAAATTTCAGTTTTATTTTTTAAAATAGGAAGACACGATGATTTTGAATTTATAAATGATATGGCAACATTTTAAGCATGTTTTACAAACAAAATATCATTGCAGAATAGAAATGCAGGAATGAAAAGAAATTTAAAAATGACTCTAGCATTAATGTATCAATAAAAGGAACTAATATTCTGGAAATATTAGATTTGTGTACTTATTAACTGGCGATATCCATCAATACAAATTGTGTAAAATATTTAGATGCTAAGTGCCAAGATCAATTAGATTTATCATCCATATATAAGAAGATAACTCCTAAATAAAGAAGAACCAATAAGAGTATATATGTATATATATAACAGAATCATGTTAGATAATTTTAACCTCAAGAAAAGAGTTACGAACATAACTACAAGTACCATGACATTTTGTCCTTTACAGACAAGTCTGGAAA